GAAATGGGTGCCATTGCCACTGGGATCAAACAAGAATATCTGAGCTATAGTCTAAACTCCTAGTATCCCCCTTAATAACCCCTATAGTAGTCCCCTATATAATCCCCTAAATAACCCCCCTTTAAGGAGTTTAGACTATAGCCCACATGGCCCTGGACTACCTCGCATCCTCTCTCCTTGCAGCCCCTAAGCCGAAGGGCTGAAACTCCGACCCTAAGGCCTTCGCCTTACCTGGACCCCCAAAGTATGTAAAATAATGGCCTTTATGGATGTTATTATGGGTTTAGGGCTATTATTTTACATACTTTTTTGGGGGTTTAGGTAGTGCTATATTCAGATATTTACGCCATACGGCAAGCGCTATGGAGCCTACACGCTGGCAGGAACGTCTGCTGTCGGCCAATAACTCATGTCGCGCATCCTGCAGCTGCGACACTTACCGCGGCAAGAGTGGGTTGGGGGTTAGTTCACACAACAAGCTTTGATTGCACGACCCTAAGTCCCTTACATTTGGCCTCAGGAACAGTGGTATCGTAGCCTACGAAGGTCATGCAGGATTTTGTTGTATCCGCAGGAGGAGTTAGAACTCACTTCTATGGATGTGTGGGTTGGGGCCACCGTGAGGGGTTTGGAGATTCTTGGGTTGCGGATTTGGAGCCATACAATGGCAGGGTTACTGGCCTTTGCCATTTCAGAAGCTTGAAGCAGTAGGTTGGAGGTGTAGGAGTTTTGTTGGCTCTGGGGTCGCACCACTGCTTCAACACGAAAAGCTCTTCCAAAAACTTACGTTGAGGTACAGTAATCGCACAATTGTTGCATGGAAGCATCTCAGATACGATCCTTATTACAATCCTTCAATCAGGACCCTGTATCTTTTCACGTGTCCGATGATACACCTAGCCCCTAGACCCCCATTTCCAAAAGCGCCCACATAGCAGTTATGACCTGTTCAAACCAGTCCCAGCTCCCTGTGCAAACTAGCCCCTCCGGCAATGATGGTTTCAGGCTTCGTAATTCAACTTCTGCCTCCATAAAGTAGGGTCTCTATCGAATAAAAAGCGGATGGTTCTTTCTTGCAAATGATCCTCAACTAGCAATCCTGACATATCTCATGCTTTGGTCCGAACATGGTTCCTATGCAGTTCTTGCCCAAATATGTAATGAACCCTGAGAGTCCCTGTGCCAAAATAGAGTGCTTCAGGCTCCCAAAACCAGTCAGATTAGAGGAACTTGGCGCCTCAGCCCTGAACCCTAAACCACCAACACATTAGCTGGGCACTGGGTTCCTTAGGGGAGCTAGCTGGTCAAATTATAGTACGCTACGTACCTACGAATCTATCTATCTGTCTATCTCTGATTCTATCCGGCCTATATACCCTAACCCCAAACACCAAGTCCGAATGCCTGATATAGTGAAACCTATACACATACAGGGGGTAATTGTTTCTCTCTCTCTCTCTCTCTATATATATATGTATATCCATATATATATATATATGTGTGTGTGTATCCACGTCCAATGGGCCTAAGGAGCTGGAGTGCCGCCACGACAGCCACTGCCTGACGTCCTTCGAAGCAGAGACGGGTTGTTACAAGGCGCATGGAGGATTTAGGGTTTAGGGATTATAGGTTTAGTGCTTAGGGTTCAGGGTTTATAGCCGAGTTTAGGGATAACACGCATTGAGGATTTAGGGATTAGGGTTTGTGATATAGTCTAGGATTTAGGTTTTGGGGATCAGGGTTTGGGGACAAGGTCAAGATTTGGGTTACGAAGGGACGACTAAGGGTGGACGTAGGCGTCGGTTTGGTATTGCTTCCTGTATATATCCCCCAATAAGAAGCCATGTCCATTGACTGTACAGTCCAAACAGTCTAAACTCCTGAAAGAGGGGTTATATGGCAGATTATAGGGGGCTAGTATAGGGGTTATTAAGTGGGATACTAGGAGTTTCGAATATGGTCCACCTGGAGGGTTCAGGGATTTAGCCTCAGGGTCGGCAGAGGGTTTGAATGGGGTTGGGTTAGGGACTTAGGTGAGGTTTGGGAATTTCCCGGGTGCTTCTTAGTAAGTCTTGGTGCGGGCTAGGCCTGGGTGATCTTGAGGGCTTCCGAGTTGTCTGCTGCTTTAGCGCTCTGGCGTCGGAGCGAAGATTTCTCAGGCGGTTTGGTGTATTGAAGCAGAGGCTTGGCTTGTTTCCACCTTTGTAACGACGCTGAATAAGCTTCAGGGTTTAGGGTTTACGGCTTCAGAAGAATTACATCTTGACTAGGTAGCACAGCACAGGTCAGCTTCAGGATTATACCTACCCTAAGGGTCCAAGGACCCAAAGAATAGGGCTCCAGGGCCCAGATACTATTATGTTAATGGTATTTGGGCCCTAAAGCCCTATTATTTGGGTCCTTGGACCCTTAGGACTACTAAACGCGATTTCAGGTTTAGGGTTTAGGTTTCTACGGCAATGGCTGCGAAGCTGAAGATAACTGGGGTCACAGGAACTCTTTCTATCCCTGATTGAAAAAGTTTCCAAAGCCTCCATCTGCTCCTCCAGAATCTCTTAGGACCCTAAAGCCTAAACCCTGACATTCAGCATACGAAGCCTGACTCCCTTACCCCCAGCAGCGAGTGCACAGAGGCTTAGGACCCAGGAAGTAAGGCCTAAGGCTTTTAAGGTGTGGGGGTTGGGACTCAAGGTGCCAAGATGTGTTTGGTGTTCCGGGTTCAAAATCGTGGGGTTCAGGGTTGAGAACCCTAAGGGTCCAAGTACCAAATAATCATACACTTACCCAGAACCTATACTATAATTACTATTACCCAAGACCCAAGTACCTAATCATTGGGTACATGGACCCTTTGGGGAAGGTTTGGGATTCAGGATTGAGAGCTTTAGGTTTGGGGCTAGTGGCAGTGGGCCGATGCAGTACGAACGTTAGCCACTCGCTCTCCATCTTCCGCCCTTAGCCCTGGACCCCGGAAACTCCTAAAGCAGGGCTCAGGGTTTTAGGGTTTAGGATTTAGGGTTTCCGATTTTTGCCACTCCCGCATAGGCAGTCATCACTTGGCGTAGGGATTTCAATGATGGGAGCTGCCCGTCTGCTTCTAAGACCAGCCTTTGCTCATCACTCCATGGGATCCTGTAATCTCCTTCCAGTACCGATGTATCCCCCGATCCCTGACAGTAATTACTATTCCTTTTTCTGGATACCGCTGATGGAAGGCTCACCTGGATGTCCCCTAAGTGGGTGATTCAGAAGTACATCTAGGGCTGCTGTTAAAAGTATGGCCCAACACCCGTAAACACAGCCCAAAAGGCCACTATGTTACATACTTGTGGCAGGGTCCAGGGAGCATCCCTAAACCCTAAGCCCTAAACCCTGTGGAAGAAGAAAGACAGTTGCGTGCGGTAAGAAAACGGGTGCTGGCTGCTGCGATCCCTGAGACTGTGGTGGAGTCAGGGGAGGAGGCCGGCTCTCAGCAAGGAAGCAATGACCCAGGGAAGAGTATAGACGTCATGATTCAGGATGAGCTGGAAATCAAACGACAGAGGGAAGAAGAAGATGCACGGCAACTGCGTGAAAAGGAGATGATGGAAGGGCAGATCCTGGAGTACGAGCAAGAAAAGGAGAGGGAGCAACAGGAAGATGAAGCCAGGTATGAAGAGTTGCAGGCCCAGTATGTGCAAGAGTGGGACGATTGGGTTATGTGGCGCTCGCTACATGCCACTAGCCCTTCGAGGACCAGGCCGGCGAAGAAGCAGAAGATGGTCTTGCATGTCCAGGTACAAGGTGAACTGACGCCTGTGCCGCGGCTTGATTTCAATGTCACGCCGGGCCTGCCGACCACCATTGGGCTGACGTGGACGGTACTTGATGATGACCCTGGCATCGTGGAGGACAATGCGGCCAAGGCAAGTGGCAGTCAGAGTTCAACAGAACGTGTGAGTCCGGTGACGCCTGAAACGCAAACTGTGAAGCCGGTAGTTAAGGGTCAAGGGCATATTGCTGATGGGGAGTTGTCTGCGTTCATGACCGGTGAGGAGGGACGTAGTGTTTTCCAGGCCTGGTGCTCCGGAGGTTTTCATCAGAGCAGATTTCAAGGCTTTATGAGGACAGCGTTCTAGAGGCTTTTCTAGCCAACAGATTGGTCATGGAGACCGGCCGAGATTCGCAAGGCTAAGGTGTCTGAGACTCTCCTGGGCCTAAGAGACCCTTTGTTATGCAGAGAGCAAAAGAGGCGCTCAACAAAAAGAACTAAACCTCTGAGCCTTAACCTCTAAGCCCTAAACCCTAAATCCTATCGAGGCTTTTAGCTTGCTGTGGTGGACTTGAGCGGCTCACATGAATTGAGCTGCGAGCAGGATGCTTAGGAAGTTCAAATGCTGAAGCTTACTGGGGGTCTGTAGGGAATAAGGGAGTATAGGGTTCGGGACTTAGGGGTTTACGGTTTAGGGGCTTAGGGTTTAGGGCGTATAGAGTATATTAGAGGGCTATATAGGGATGATGGAAAACAAGATGGAAACGGCTATTTGGGGTATAGGGTTTAGGGTTTCCAGGGAATCAGGGACTACATTCTATAGGGATTGGATTCCCTTATTCCCTACTAAGCACCAATAAGGAAAGAATTGGCGAGGAATCTCAAACAAAGCCTCCGCAAGAAAGAGACTGAGCGCGAGGCAGCCATCGTCAAGGCAGTGGGCTCAATTCTCCGACAGGAGTCCCGTTTTACAGCAGCGACACGGGCGAGATCGTGGATGTAGAGCAGACGTGGCAGATGATATGAGCTGCGGACTAGAGTTAGGTTGGGGGGACGTATAAGTAGATGTATAGGGGGTTTAGGGGGACCTTTAAGGAATATTCTATAACTTGTTGCGGCGTGAGCCCGTCGACATATTGATCGAGAGTTATCATAATGGCCGTTTTAGGTCTTCGACAGCAAGCCGGTGATATCCGAAGCCTTCTAGAAACCAAGCTGGCCTTCGGTTAGCTGGGAATGCAGGAATGGAAAAGAACATGGAAGCTACTATAGTGGGTTCTACAAGGACTACCATAAACATCCATTCCTTCATTCCTAGCTAACCAAAGGCCAGTCTTTCAGGGGTTGCCCTAAACCCTAAACCTTAACTCCTAAACCCTAAACCCTAACTCAAGCAGTGAGACCACGACCCTGCCAACCTCCCGTTCTTGCACAGGCACAGCGGCACCTCTCCACGGAGAAGTGCCATCTTCACCATGACCATCTGGACAGCACTCAAGGCTTTAGGTTTTTTTGGGTTTAGGGATTTAGGGTTTTAGGGTTTAGGGTGCTTGTAAGAGATTTTGGTTAACCCATCCTCAAATCGTAAGTGCCTTACTTTAGGGGTTGGGTTTGCCAAAGTGCTCTGACTGCCTACTATCCAAACCCTACCACCCCTAAACCCTAAATCCCAGAGCCCTTTTTGAGCTCGAATCTGGCCTCCGCGGTTTAGGACTGACAATTGCTTTAGGTTTTTGGGTTCCAGCCTTGGAGTATAACTTAGAGATAAAGGTTTAAGGTTTGGGCTTTAGGGTTTAGGGTTTTGGGGTTTAGGCTTTAGGGATTAGGGGTTTAGGGTTTACGGTTTTTGGCTTCAGGGTTTTGGGTTTAGGGGTTTAGGGTTTTGGGTGCGTCTTTCACCGTTCCAGTTCGGATTTAGGCCAGGCCGCTCCACTTCCACCCCATTGTTTGTCCTTCGAAGATTGCTGGAGTTGCACGAGGGGTGCAGCACTTCCTTTTATGCGCTTTTTCTGGACTGGTCACAGGCCTTCGATTCAGTCAGTCACGAGGCATTACGCGCCGCGATGCATAGAATGGGGGTCCCCCA